GACTCCAACTCCCAGAATTTTGGGAGTTGAAGTCCATACATCTTAAAGTCGCCAAGGTTGAGAAACACTGCCTTAGAAGCATCAGTGTGGGAAAGCTTGGACTAAACCTCCTGGCTTTTTAAATTAAGCGTGGATCATTTGCTCCTGATTTTGGGAAGAAGTCATAAACTAAACCTAAACTAGTTCTTCCCTAAACATTAAGAAATAACGTATGGGCACTCTTTTAACTCTGTCCTTATTCAGTTATCATATTACCACCATAGGAACAATATTGTATTTCCTCAACAGGTAGGCAGTTACTTATTTATAAATTTATAAACTGCTTCAGCCACTCCAAGCAGTGTACAAAAGCAACCGCTGTATCCAATGCAATACAACCATAACAGAAATATAATGTATGATTACAGGATCTCCTAGCGCTGGGCTACAGCACACCATAAAGCATGTAAAAGAAATCAGATACTTACATTTTTCACTAAATTAAAAAGCGAGTCACCCATCTTGCCCTGATAGATTTCACTTATGATCTTGAGCAAGCTATCCGCTTTTTGCTGCTCACAAAGAACCAGATGAATATCAGTGCTGTTGCAATTCTGATTAGACGATGCCAACCCAAAAGAAATTTAAAAACACACAGATCGTTTTTAATTCCTTGCATGTATGCTGGTTTTTTATTAGGTATTTTGTATTTTGGGGTTTTTTTTAAATTGTAATAAAATAAAGAGATCAATAAATAAAATAGATTAAAAAACCTGGAATGGTTATTATTTATTCACTTTTGGAATGGTCAGAATCAGAATAGGACCCAGTTTTATCTTTATATTTCTACGATTTTGCTTTGCATTTGCACAGAACTGCAGAGAGGAGTCGAGATGCTGTTACAAGTCTTGGTAACCACATTTTCATATGGGGGGTGTAATATTCCTCAGGCCATGGAACCTACTTCAGTTCTTTCTGGTGTAATGGGAGGTTCACTCTGAGAATGGATGGGGCCTGAACCAAGAAGAGAGTGCGGCCAGGAAAAGAAGTATATTGAAATTGAATAAATTTGAACAAATTTCATCTGCCCAGAATCATGCATAACCACCTATATAAATTGGGTGGGTGGATGGATGGAGAGAGAGAGAGGATACATAGAGAGATGAGAGAGAGAGAGAGAGAGAGAGAGAGATGAGTAGATAGACAGACAGATAGACAGACAGATTGTTTTTCCTTTTGGCCACCTTAAAAATCACAATTCAGACATCTTTGAAAGGCTTGGGGGCCAAATGCAGCCCTAGGGCCTAAGACTGTGCACCTCTACTTTAAAGTAACACACCTGAAATTGAAAGCCCTACCTCGCTCTTTCCTGAATAGCAATGGTAGTGGCCTCTCACCTCTTCTGCCAAGCTCTTTAGAATGGCCTAAATGAATGAAATTAATCAAAAGTCATTGATTAATGACAACAACAGTTCTATTTTATAAAGTGCAAAGATAACCCTAGAGACAATGAAAAGACATAAATTAAATTGTTATTGATATCAGCTCTTGACATAAGTGCTTCTAGAAGAATAGCCCTATTAGTATTGCTGGACTTCCCTCCTAGCAGCACTTAATCTGAAGAAGTAGAGTTCTGATTAAAATAGGTATTAGAAGGACAGCTAAGGTTCCAGCATAAGAATTCCAGCAGGTTACTTTCAAATCAGAAACCTACAGTATATATAGCTAATGTATGGTTGCAAAAGTCTATGCCACTATTTCTCAACCTTGGCAACTTTAAGATGCAACTTAAAGAACTCTGGGAGTTGAAGTCCACCCATCTTAAAGTTGCTAAGGTTAAGAAACACTGGTCTAAGCCATTTCCTCCCATTTTTTGGTGTCCTTTTTATGACGGCAAGGCAGTCTTCATCTGCTGATTGCTTTGGGAACAGCTGCTAGACTTCTTACCAGCCTGAGAAATTACTCTCTCACAAGTAAGCAGCAGGCAAAATAACCAAATTTTTGTAGCACCTCAAGAGCATTCACTGATGTGTTACAGCATTTGAATTTGTAGACTGAGAGCCAGTTTGATGTAATGATTAAAGACGTGGGCTAGAAACTGGGAGACAGTGAGTAATGGACACACCTTAGGCACAAAGTCGGCCAGGTGACTTTCGGTCAATCTCTCTCTTTCAGCCCTGGGAAGAAGCCAAGGGCAAACCAACTCCCCAAAACGTTGCCAAGAACAGGCACACGTACACACATATTTGTGGGCAGCAGTTATTTATTCCTGCTTCACCTGATGCACAAGAAAAAAAGTGTCTTGGCAACATCAGGACACATGTACAAAAGGGGCAAAACTTGTGTCACTATGCTTGTTTTGTCATTTGACTCCTCCCTGCCGTGTGTATTCAGGACTGCACACCATTCTTCATCAGAAGGCCGTTTAAACGGTTTTAAAGCATCTTTTGATCCAAAAATGGATGATTTCGCTGTTATGGCTAGATTATGGCCTATGCTTTTTTCAGTAAAACAGGGTTCAGATAGGCCACCATTTGCTATCTGATGGTTTCTTGAATAAACCACAAACTGGGTTTATACACCCAATGAAGCCAAAACCCAAACAACCCACATTATGGCTTAGTGTGTTACATGGACCTGGCACACCAAAGCAGAATAAAATATGGTTCATCTTGCATGGAGAAAGAGCATAAGCTCCTCCTTTGATTCTTTATTTCTCCATTTAGCCTAGAACTGCCTGTGCTGGCAAGAATCTCCTGTGTCTCAGGTGAACAACCTATCTCCCTTCACTTGCTACCTAGCTCCTTTAAATTGGAGATTCTGGGGGTTTAATCTGGTGTGTTCTGCACACAAAGTTGTCGGTGTGCCTCTGAGCTACGCTTCCCCTTCCCACAACCGAGAGACTCACAGGAGGCACTTCACTGCTGCAATTGTATGCCACAGCATGGACCAGCATTTGTCTTCCTGCTGAACGTTGTTGGATGTAATCAGACAAAATTTCTGAAGCCTGGTCTGGACTGTTTTGGAAAACAAGAAAGGAAAGCGGATGGGGAGGGGTAGGAAGGGGTGGGGTGGGGTGGGGTGGGAGAGAAGGGCAATCTATAATTATGAGATAGGAAAGAGAAAACTCCCATCAAATTAAGGAATACAATTAAAGCCACCATTAGAACTCTCATATGATTCATACAGAGCTAGTATATGGTCTACCAGGTCAGGAGGAATAAAGCAGAACCAACCCACAGATCAAGGGTAGGGACACTGATGGCTTTCTACATGTGGCTGAACTCAGCATCCAGCATCCCCAGCCATCATAGCCAGTGGTGAAGCATGCTGGGAGCTGTAGTTCACCAAATATTTGGAGGCTGGCAGGTTTCCCTCTCCTACTTGACACTATAAAGAGAATTTGAACATCCCAGCCTGTCTGTATCCTTCCAGGGTTGACCAAGCTAACTGAAAGACCTTGCTGAAGTATACTCCCCATGTAAAAATGAATTATCTCCAGGGTATTTTCATGCAAAGCCATGTGGTGCTGAATCAAACCAAATGACTTGGATGCTCAAAACCACACAGTGTTTCCTTCATGGTTTGCTTCATTTCCTGCTTTTTATCCATATGGAAATTCAAGGAGACATGATATGATGATGTTGCTCAAATGTTCTTCTATCCAAGACTGTCTCAGAGATAGACATCCTTCAAGCCACATTGCTGAGTCTTGTGCCTTGAGGTCTTAGACTGCATTTAAACCAAAGACAACATTTGCCTTTCAACAGATGACCTACCAGCTTCCTACAATGATCAGCACTGAATCCAGCTCTCTCATTGCCAAGACTGTCTTCAAAGCTTTTAGCAAATTGCAGCCTCTGCTGGGTTTTAGCTGCTGGACCCACTGCCTTGCTTCATTCAATCTAGGGAAAAAAAGAAGGAAGGTGAATTTTACTGCACGCCAATTTAGAAACAAGCCAGGAGTTATACAGAACAATCAGACTGGGTTCCCTTTTTGGGCTTAAATAACAATAATAATGTGCCTGTCAACAAAACACATATCTAACAACCAATTCCAAACAATTAAAATGGTGAAAGTCAACCGGTAAATGTGGTTAGTGAATGTGAAAGTCAACCAGTAAATGCAAATTTGTGCGTGATAAAATTGTGCAGTAAAATTGTAGCAGAGCAATGACAACAATAGAATTCCTCTTCTACTAAAAGTGTTTCCTGCAAGCATGCACCAGTATCAATAACAGTACAACCAGCCAGGAATTTCAAAAAGGAAAATAGAGGATGTACAATTCCAGCAAGATGAACAAAAATCTGAAACTTCCAGAGACAAACAGCACACTTACCTATCCCCCTCAATTGCTCGGGGTCCCTCCCACAGAGCTGAGATTTCAACTCCAAATGAAATGAAGTAGAGTTTCTTCATGTAACGCAGTTGTTCATCAATTAATGACTGAAAGGAAAACAACCACAGCTCAGGTTGATCACAGAAGACAAGAAGACCCAACTCTTACAACATACTCATGATCACCTCCATGAGGCTGCCACTAACAGATGTTGTCAACAATACAGTATTGAATGGACCACTGGTCTATAACCCAGCAAGCACAGTGCAAAGCAACCAGACCTGCAACCAAGCAGGAAAACACAGAAACAACTCCTGAAGTCCCTCTCTGCTCACAACTTGATCACCACCTTCCATGGTGAGAGCCAGCATGGGCCCTAGTAATACTTACCAGAAGATCCATTTGGAGTTCTTGTAGCCTCAGTCCACAACTGACGTTGGACATTTCAATCAGAACTCCAAGTTTGCTTCCTTGAATAACACCAAACATCTAGACTGGGAGAAGAAAAAAATGAAAAGAACCTGAAAGATCTTAAAACATTAGGATCTTTGTTGAATTGTATAGTGAGTCACACTACAGGAGAGTTTCTAAATACCCTACATAAACAAACCTTGGTGACTGCCAGAATGAAATCTGTAAAAATACAGATGGTTTTATACGATGCTCTAAACTTAGTTTATAAAGAGATAAACTCAGATGATTATATTCTCTTCTACTCAGATATAGTTTAGTTTCACACATTGTTCCTAAACCATAATGCTTGCTTCTGGCTTAGGATATTGTGTGAATCCTGCCGCTGTACTTATAAACTATGATTTCTAACAGTGCTGTTATGTGACTTCAGCCAATTGTGAGTTATTCAATCACTCTTTTCCAGATCAAATCAAGCAAATGGTCTGGATGGTTTGCAACAAAGTAGTTGGGCTCAGGCCTCACACCAAGCCACTGTTTGTTTAAATGTGCTTTGTCAAATAAGCCACAATAGTTTGCAAGGCATTAGGTTGGGTTTGCAAACTGTGTTATCAACCCTGGTTTGCAAACCAGAAAAAGCAGAATCATGTAACATTCTAAGCCCAAAACAATCAAATTAGATTATGGCTTAGTGAGAATGTAAGCCTCCTATTAGCATCACCTTTCTCTTAATTAACAACATAATCTCAAATAATAACAATAACCAGGTAGAAATCTCAGCAGCCCATGGCAAAAATCCATCCATGATAGTTAAGAGATGGGGCTGTATTTTCTGGCCAACCACCAGAACAAAAATATACAGAAGGCCAGACAAAATCCTGTGGCAATGAGTTCCAAAGGTGAACATTTGCTCTCACAGACATAATGTCTCTAATATTGGAAGTAACATTTAACATTTTTTTAAACATTACCTTCCTGCTGCCCTTCAGAAGCCAGTGCATTCGCTTGTCATATAGATCGATAGCTCTGTGGATGAACGTAATCCCCCCCCCCACAAATATAGGTAATACATTTTATTGTAATGCTATCAGCAAGGAGCTTACATATTTCTTATGGTAAACTGGCACCTTCCCTGAATTAATACCCTCCAGTTGAACTTGAATTCCCATGATCCCCCAGCAGCCCAAGCCCTTCAAGTTCAACGCATCTGAAAAGGTTGGGGAATACTGATTTAAACCATAATTTTGGGGGGAACAGTCAAAAGAATTGGCTGAAAAGATCCATCTCAACCAGTGCTTCTCAACCTTGGCAACTTTAAGACGTGTGGACTTCAAGTCCCAGAATTCTCCAGCCAGCATGCTCCACACGTCTTAAAGTAAGGTTGAGAAACACTGATCTAGAGAGCAATTTTTCTCAAACTTGGCAACTTTAATTTTGGGAGTGAAGATGAAGACTAACAATGTTCTCCCAGGCACAACCAGACAGTTCAGTTTGTTGGTGTTGTGAATCTCAAAGGCTACTGACAATAGTTGATACAATGGAAAAGAGGCATCGAAACAGGAAGCTGAGGGGTGAAAACCTTTCAGGTTCTCAAAATAAGGAATATTTTCCATTCTTCCACTCCTTTTCAGACTGAAATCTCCACCAGAAGCACTGTAAAAGAGCATTCTTTGAAATGGGGAGAACATGGGGAATTTTATTTTAGGTTGCCCTCAAAGGAAGATTTTGTTCAAAACTTGCAGAGCTGCATTCTCTGCATTCTCCAGTTTCTGCCCCACCTGCTTCTGATCAGATGTTAAAAAGCAAAGGTTTCCTTGGTTTCTCAGCTAGAGAGGATATTCTAAAAAAGAGGGTATACAGGCAGTCCTTGTTTAGCGATTGCCTCGTTTAGCAACTGTTTGCAGTTATGACAGTGATAAAAAGGTAAATTTACAACCAATCCTCGCATTTACGACCTTTGCAGGTCGGTAAAGCCAGGGAACGCTGAAGTAAGATCATAAGCACAGTCACAGTTTCACTTAGCAACTGCTTCACTTAATGGCTGAGTTGCCAGTCCCGACTGTGGTCGCTAAACGAGGACAGCCTGTAGCTGGTTTCGGCTAAAGCAAGTTCTTCGGCAACGTAAGAGAGAACATGGGGTTGGGTGATGTGATGGAATGGAATTATGAAGGCCAATCTCAGGGCGATAAACATTTTCTTAGCTCACCAGAACAGCGTGGGAGGAACAAGAGGATGAGACTGGCAC